ACAGTTAAAGCATTTACTCCGGGTAAATAATTATCCTTTGGGCTTAATTGTTAATAATATCTCTTTACTGGGGAGTTGATTTTGAGACAAAGACTATTTTGTCAAAGATAGACAAGCTGAGATCTGAATCATAAATTTGCTGTCTTGCCCTCTTTCTAAGAAGATAGGCCAACTAGTGAAAAAAAGGGGGGGATAAAAACCACGTTGAAGAGCCCTTGCACTATTCGGTTATATCATCGTTTGGAGAGTATCATGGCTTATTTTCGAGATCCGGCTGTTACAAGATTGTGTATTCCTGTGATCGACCTTATGCTGGTGAGACGTGTCGGCCAATTCACCAAGGATTAGTGGAACACAAAAATGCTTATTAAAGGATCTGTGTCTAACGGGGATTGCTCTGGCTTTAAACTGACTGTCATAAGTAAAGCAAGACATCAGTATGGATTTACTAGGGCTGGATTGCAGTGTGTCAATAAAAGCCAACTTCGGGCTTAAATTCACTCTGGCTGGAAGGAAGGCCTCATTTGAGCAAAGCTGGAAACAGTCTACAAATCTTATGCAATACGAAATGAGATAAATAAACATGATAAAATCATAACGAGCCTCCCTTTAGCCAGCTTTTCACTTGAGTACTGCTAACAAGTTCCTGAAGAGAATTATTAAGATATATAAATTCATCAAACTACCAGCTAGGGCATTCATATACTTAGCATTATGGAGTAAATTCATTAGGGTTTTGTCGAATATATGAAGATCAAGATGGTGTGGCCCTTGAAATGCTCGCACTCCTTTCAATTTATAGAAGTGGGTTGAATTCGTTTTCGCAACTTTGTCTTGTTGTCAGAGCTACTTAGTAGAGCTCACTTTGTCCGAAGTCCTCTGCAATAGTCGTTAGCATAATTTCATGCATCATACCGTGGACTTGGTACCTTCTCAGACGCTTCGCCAGCATCGTAGTCGGCATCAACCATGAGTCTTGCCATTCTCCATACCATACTACAAACTGGTCAAAAAGACACGTGATGTCAATCCTTCGACTAACGTTTTGCCGAAAACTTCACTCCCCTTTTGGTCCTGACCCATCTATCTACTCCCTACTCTCTTATACAACACCCTCCCTATCACAACTTTTGGCTTGTTTACAGTGCACTCATCAAAATGTGTGTCCTTTTTTGGCAAGTTGATTTCTAGTACATTTTAACCATAATGCCGAATTTCTGTTACGGTTGTACTTATCCGTCTGCCTAGTTCCTGAATGCAAGGCCCCAAAGTTGTAGTGGTTTCTTCAAACAGACACCACTCACTTGATTTCCAAAATTTACCCCTCCGTTTTGTCATCGTGATCCCTTTTCCTCCGGTTAGCGATAGATCCTTGATCCAGGCGTCTCTTTTTTGCTGGTCTTGCTCTTTTCTTGTTTTTCCCGAATTTGCTTTGGCAGTAGGCGGTTATCCCTAATCATGATTTTTGTGTATCCATTTTCTTGCAGAGCCTTTGATATTTCTTGATTCTTATGCTAATTTTCCTCCCTGTTTCGCCAATATTTTGCTGCTTGTAGGCGCTGTATGCTATGCAATAAATTCTTTAATATTCCACTTTGTCTACCATTTCATGTTGCATCGATAGACTTGTGAAAAGTGTTGTTTTTCCTTCATGGCCACCCGAATTTTCAATTTCCTCAATATAGTCCGTAGTCTTTGAGTTAGCTCGCAGGAAGGTAAACATATACACTTTTGTGAATCCTTCTAAGTCCTTACCGTTCTTTCGTAGTCCCCGTTCTGCCATTGGCTTTTAATTGCCGTTGTCGAGGAATATCCTAGTCAATGTGTTCAAGTATTCGTCCCAGAATTCCACATCCGTTTAACAGAGACTTTGGATGATCATGCTTCTCATTATTCCTAGCTTTAGCCTGTGATAGGACAGAAAATTGAGTATTATCCTGGCATGAGAGTTATTTCTGACTAATTTCTTCTTGAACGCCCCATGGGAGCGAATCACTTGGACATCCAGAAAAGGTAACCGCTCACTTTTTCTACTTCCATTGTGAATTTAATTTTTTCATCAATCTGGTTTATAAACATCAGAAAAAATTTCCAGTTTTTCACTTCAATGTAACCAAAGTCCGTAACCCATAGGAGGCCAGGGTGGATAGCAGGTGTGATGACGCCAAATTAAATTTGCCAAAGAGATCACACCTTTTGACGAGTTGAATATAAACAAGTCAGATGTTGTGATATGGTAAGGAGTTGATAGATGGGTCAGGACAAAAGGTGGTGTAACTGTTTTCGGCAGAATGTTGGTCTATGGATTGACTTCACCTGTCTCTTTGACGAGCTGGTAGCTTGGTGCGGAGAATGGCAACTTACTGATGCTACCGGCGAAACGTCTGAGAATGTACCAAGCCCACGGTCTGATGTTGGGAATTATGATAACTATTATGGCAGAAGACTTCGGATGAGGTACATTCTACTTAGTCGCCATGACAACAAGACCAAAACGAGGTCACCCCACTTCATTAGGATTTTGTTTTGCATAGCTTTAATTACACCCAAATTTTAAATCCTATGCAAAGTTAAATACTTCATATTTTAATTAAAAAGAAATAATATTTCGATATGTTTGGGTTTAAGCCCAATTCAATTAATCAGCTCATTTTACTGCACGAAGTGTCAATAGCACATCCGAAGATGACCAATTAAATATTTTATTTAGTTAAATGAATTTTCACGAAGAACATAGTTTTTCTCGACTAGTTTTTCCTAATTAAGTTTACAAAAATGTGTTTTTCTATAATGGACGAAATTAAGAACCAGTAAAAATTCTTACCATCCCTTTCGTGTTCTCACAAATAGTCTGATGTAATTTTTTTATACATAGATTTGACCATTTTGCTTACTTTGTTATTATGCTAGAGTAGAGAGCACATTGTATTCCCGGAATTATTCTTTATCAAAACAAAAATAGATATTTGAAAATCCTGGTTAGGAGCGGTATTTAGTATGCAAGCGGCCAACCAAAGAACATGCTCGCTTTTATCAGCACAATTAGTTGTGAAGCCAAGCCTTAAATTCACGTAGTTATAATCAGGTCAACAATAAGCCTTTTCATTACCATTTGATCATCTGCGATTTACTACACTTAATCAAGGTTCAATGGGACTTTCGACCATAAAGTTACCCCTAGTAAACAAAGTAGTTACATGCAGGATGATGCAAACCTTATGTATACTAAATTATAGGTTATATATATTTTGAATATATGAAGACCAAGATGTTGTGGCCTCCTTTATGGTCGCAGTCTCCTTTCGATGTATAGTAGTTAGTCGATCTCATTGTCGCAACTTGGTCTTGTTGTCAGGGCGATTTGGTGCCTTGGAATGACTATTTTCATGCATTTTTTACTGTATTATACAAACTCTTATATGTAGGCAAAATTTGATTAACAAAAGGAAGGTCAAAATAATTTAGACTTTTCCTCATGTAATGTTGCTTCGAAGGTTTATCCTGTTCTTTAGCCCCAGTTAAAATATATTCAGTTCTATTTTTATAATTTCAGTAAAATAAATAACTTACTACGTTTCCACAGATTGCAAATTCAGGGCAAATTTTGATTCTTTCAGGAGATGTCTTGTATAATAAAGTTAATCGTTTTACTAAACAAGGACTCATAATCAAGATACCTTAAAATACAATGTCTAAAATAAATTCTATATTTTCTGTTGATACCATTTTAATTTGCATTTTTCATTTATATTTCAATATTCAATACTCATTGATAAAATAGCCATATAAAAGTTAGTAATCAAGGTATCTACTGATGTGAATAATTTTATAAGTTTTTTAATTTTGATCAGGTTCATTTCGTTCACTGAAGATTCTACGCTCTATAATTGGGCTTACTCTCTTACTCTTTTAGAAATGAGGCTCTGGAAGACAACACTCGGTCTAGCAGGTCTAATTACCCTGAAGTTGTGGACAATGCTAACCTAAACAACGATTACAAAGAAACTCTGGAATCAAGTAAGCTTGAAAAAATTATCTATGCCAATGAATGTCTTGGCTTTCAAGAACATCAAGACCCAAATTGTTCGTTATGGGACGGAAAGGATATTGGCAATCCTTTAGAAGAATTTCCTTCATCTTTAGGTTAGTGAAAGTGATAAATGTCTATCCTCTTCTTTGATTAATGTAAACTTCACGACACACTTGATTTTGAGTCCTGACCTTGCGTCAGTTAGCATTTTCACTAGACTAATGGCTATTATATCTCTATATGACATATTTAATTGTTTCACTAATGGGTGTAGTTAAGTCTGTCTAGAGCAAATTTTATGCCTAAACGGTTTACACTTCCCAAATGAATTACCTCGCGTAGTCTCCGGGTAATGATTAGTGAGGGCCCGAGTAAATAAAGTCTTTACTATACTTAATATATGACAAAATTGTAATAATTGGTCAATCCAAAATTGGAATTAGTTAAGAGCGCTGAGTATTAGCTTTTGTGCGAAATTGTAATAATTGACTGTTCAAGTAAAAATTTATTCAATTTCATAAAGCAGCCGCTATAAACTTACAAATATGAACGAATATCATTTGTCTTCGCCTAAGGCCATGTCTATTAAAATTCAATTAAACATTATTCGGAGACTTGGATTAAATACTATACTAACGAAGCTATCTAACGAATAAGTTCGGAATTCTACAAACAGTGGATTAGTCACATAGAAATTTCATATAGGAATAAGACAGTTTATACTAGTATAAAGAGGCTTAAGGCGAATGAGCACTTAGAATTAAAAGCAGACAAAGGGAGAGCAGTAGTAGTTATGGGTAGGACTGAATATGTAGAGAAAATGTTGGGGGCATTAGACGATGATAGAATATTAAAAATTATAATTATGGACCTGACACAACAAAGAGTAATATTACTGAGTCTATAGAAATTAATAAAACAGCCAACGTCCTGAATAGGAGGAACGAATATTTAAAACTAAGAACAATTTGTGGCCGTTAAGTGTGTGCATGAAGCGCCACTGAACAAGAGAAGGAGGCTGGATTAATCTCAAGTCTGGCTTGGACTATCGCACATCCCATGACGTGAGCTTTACATATACACAATAGACAAAAGCACATGCCCAAACATTATTCAACATTAGAGGATCGTAAACTAGTTTATTTGTGTAATGAGATGTATTCACCCTATTTCGTCTAAGGTGATGAAGGACTGGTAGTAGAATTTTCC